TCCATGGATAAAAATAACCGTGTGCAATTAAATTCCTAATATAGGTAAGTAATGATTTCAGGATTGCAACTACTTTTGAAATATCAACTCAACCTATCGAAATCATTTTCGGATTACGTAATCATTGTAAAATTCGTACATTTCAAACAGTGACGTACAAGAGAATTGAAATTGCCTTAGTCCGAAGATTTTTCGAAAGTAGATGCGACTGTGTATATTGTAAGTAGTACAGTGTATTTCAAATTATGCAAATCAATTTTCCAGTTTGTTTGGTTTCCTCAAATAATCCTGTTTCATGTTGGAAACTATCTATCTATTTATCTATCTCTACATGTACTTATCGTACTTTTTTGTAATATGATATTATCATTTGAAAAGAATGACTTCCCTGTCTTGTAATTCTGAAAATCAAATTTGAATTTTGAGGGGGGGGGGGGGGGGGTAGGAATTCTCGCTACCCTAAATAGGTACGAAAATCTCGAAATTCGCGAGACGAGGTAATTTTCCCTCTCTCGGGTCGTCACTACAACTTCCGGTATAGAGTCCCATCCCGCTGGCGCTAGCGCCTGTGTTCGCTGTGCAGAGTTTTCACGCACGCTAAAATCGATGCCAATCAGTGTAATTTGTACAGATTATAATATGCAATGGAAAGCTTCGGGCAGAATTAGTGACTTTAGCACAAAAGGCCGTTAAACTCTACCGTGAAAGAGAGGGTTGTGATCACGAACGCCTGCACAGGAAGCTGTAATGTCGAAAAGCTATCCCATAATGCAATGCGCGTTTTCAGGATTTTCCCCGGATCTCGGCAGAATCGCTATTTGGGGTAGCGAGAATTGGTGTTTTTCGTCATTCAATATTAAATGCAGTAGCATCTTACCCAGATGGTAGAGCGTCCTGAATAACATGTACGTTCATTCTCATGAGATGGCGCCCTTGCAAAAAGCGCAACGAGACGAATTGAATGCATGTTTTCAACTAGGTTACAGTTAAGTGACCCTCTTTGCAAATATTAAAGTACAAGATCCATGCGTATTAATGCACGAGATTTAAAAAAATAAACCTTGATTGAAAATAAGTCAAAATTTATCAATCAGGGAAACTTCTCCCATTGTAAAGTCTGAGGGTGATGATTTTACATGAATTACGTTTTATTACTTTTTTTAAAGTAAAATTTATTTTGCATTTCGTTCTACTATTGATCACGTAAAGTACTACGACCAGTGAAGCCTAATCTCCCATTGGCCAATCAGACCGCTTCTTTCTTCATTTTACAAAATGATACAACGCCTTTCATTGGCTGATAACTATTAGACAAATTGTGAACATACATGACTTTGCACTTTTTTTGGTTGTTTGTGCAATATAGAACTGTTTAATCACGCCGCATCGTTAGAAATAATTCCAATAACTATGATTACAGAGGGGCTTCCCCTTTGAGACTGTCTTCGAAACATCGGACGGTATAATTGTTTTGTTATTGAAATAAATATGTAACTGTAGGGGTGAAAAGGAATGACGGTCGGTCACGTTTGTTCAAGCGAAGAAGGAAGGCATGAATGAAAAGGAATTTCAGAACAATCTTGTAACTAGAAAATTTGAAACTTTTGTCCATCAAAGCAGACTAACTCTCGGTGAACATAGCCAGATGTAACAATAATTTGTTTTGACCGGGTGATGGCGTCCTATTATTTCTAGTGCTGCGAGTCCTTAATCTTACATTTCCAATTTATATTTCTTGTATCTCCATTGATGTCCATAGTCAAAGGAGTTACTTATTGGTTATTATGACACTTCTATTTTTTTATAAGACTTATATCATGCATTATCACTATTTTGTATAATATCACTTTCATTTTATCAGAACAAATATTACCTTTATACAACAGATCAGATAATTAGGGAATGGAGAACTTGTGAATCAACATAATGAAAATCAGGAGACGAGAAATAATGTTTCCACGTGCATATTCAAAGTGAGATGGCCTTTGTTTCAAAATAAAATAAAAAGGCTTTTATCCTAAAGTATACCATTTATGATCCGAAGTCATTTAGGGCTTTATGGTCCGAATTAAAAAATAGCGGTTTATCTACTGCTGTAATGTCTTTTCAATAGCACCATCTTTCGATGACTGGTTGTCCTCATATTTGTGAGTCTCACCTCAAGGGGGGAGGGGACGTGTAAAAACACGTTAATGTTACCTTTTTTGGAAATTGACACCCCCCCCCCCCCTGACGCTCAAGGGGGGAGGTGCGATTTTTCAAATTTTCGAGGGCCAAATTTTTTTAAAAATTAGTGCTCAAAACTATTTTTAAAAAAGGGATTGGCTTTATACAGGTATCGAAAAGTTTTAAGTACGGTGCGAAAGATATTTGGTCTTTAGGGGAATGTTTCGAAGGCTTTTTGGTTTTGTTGATTAGGTTTTTTAATGCGTGTGTAAACGTGGCCGATGTTTGAAGATAATTCCTAAATATCTGTATTCGTTAGTTCGAAATTTGTCTTTGATCAATAATTTTGTTCTTCCATACAAAAACAATGTTCGCTTGATGAAATATGATAACAGACATTCACTTGAATGACTTCTCTTTTTGCACTCAATATTTCAATATATCTTTGAGGTTTTCAAATATCTCTTTAACTATTCCTGATCTCAATGTGCAGGCCTATGATGCATTGACCAGTGGTTTGTACATTACTCTCTTAATTTCTAGGACTTAAATTTTAAATCCATTTTGAGACTTAAAATATTTCAAGTCTTTAAGACTTAATAAATTGGGAATTCGACTAAAAGTTTTATCGAAACCAGCTTCTAGATATAAATCTTGGAAAGACTTAAACTTCTCGCCAATAAGATGTGCATATTTCCAGTTGCACCTGTTGATGACTGACTGTTGGCATATTTCCAGTTGAACCAGCTGACACCAATTAATTTGCATATTGAATATGGGGTGCGTGCAGATCTATGTTTTTTAAACAATTTTTCTGAATTTACAGCATATTTCTTAATTACTGATGATTTAGGTATATGCAATTCATTTCGAAAATACTACAAATATAAATTACAAGTTATTAGGACATTTCGCTACTTCGTATGAATTCCATTTAATTAAACATGAATAAGGGAAACATTAACTATGAACTAAAATAATTTCAATAAAATACAAGTATATGAAAAAAAATTCGATTTATTAAATTATGTATAAGTCTACTTATTACCGATGCCTTTACATTGATAATACAGACGTACCAGTATTGAAGTGTTGTTGCCGTTCAATAGGCCATTTTCGTAATGTAACCAAATTTAATGCATAAGTCTTTGTGAAGTGCCTCAATACAAATTATTTCGTTCACCTGGTAAGAATAATAGTATTTCAATAGACAGAATGCAAACTGCATATATCAAGTGTTGCTAGGTAGGTCAAGCCATAATGTTTGTCCAACCTGGCAACAACTAATGTATGCAGTTTGAATTATGTCTATTGAAATACTATTATTCTTACCAGGTGAATGAAATAATTTGTATTGAGGCACTTCACAAAGACTTATGCATTACATTTGGTTACATTACGAAAATGGCCTATTGGTTGGAAGTTTTACCAAATGGTTCTAATGGCTTAGCTAGACCAGTAAATCTAAAAGACTTGAAATATAAATACAATTGACTTAAACTTTAAATCTTTCAGGGACTTAAAATTTTAAGTCTTAGCTTAGATTTATTTTTGAAATGAATCCAAGAAAGGTTTAAAATAAATATTAAAAGACTTGAAATATAAATCCAATTGACTTAAATTTTAAACCTTTTCAGGGACTTAAAATTTCAAGTCTTAGCTTAGACTTATTTTAAATCCCAAAGGGTTCGTCACTAATATCAGTCTCTGTTAGATTTAAAAGTAAGACTTTAAGATTTAAAAATAAGACTTTCAAATTTAGAGAGTAGGCATAATCAAATATCATTTTTAAAGCCGTCAAATGTATGACTGAGCTTCAGCCACAAATCATATTCACTACAGGTTCTAACGATAATGGGAGATCCCTATATAATTACCACCCGAATCCCTATAATTGACAAATTTAAAAGCTCTAGCTTTCATGATTTACTATACTTTTGTTTGCCTTAAACTCAGGGGGGGGGGGGGTCTTCCTTAAAAAATCGATATGTTTAACGAACTTCAACCCGAGGCTAAATCGGTTCTAGTCCATAATCTGGCCGATTTAATTTTTTGAATGATCTCCACCACCGCGATCTCCTCTTACTTGCAGAGTTGCTGAGAGCCGGAGACGACATAATCCCCGAATATCTACACCCGGCGAGAAAAAAAATCAAGGCAGGGCGTACGAGTTTGTTGATAACGCCATCTTCGTCGGGTAGCCGCAAGTATAGGGAATATTATTGAGATATGAAATATAGTTCTCTATGACTAACTCTTCACTTGCCAAATCACAATCGAAATGATTATGGGACGGGGTTTGATAGATCTGTCTGAACCATACTTTTTGGAAAGAATTTGTTTCGATCTTTATACACAACTATATAAACACAACTACTCCCACATAAATATTTTAAAAAAGAATGAAACGCCGATAATACCAAACAACAACATGCTCTCTTCTTCCTTATTTCTCTCTCTTGCCCTTTTTCTTGTCTACATTCTCCCGTTCTATCTCTCTCCCTCTTTATTTTCTTCTTTTCTTCTTCTTACCCTCTCTTGTCTACACACACACACACACACCAGTTTTTTTTTTCTCTCTCCATATCCCCTTCTCCCTCTCTCTCTCTCTCTCTTTCTCTCTCTCCCAGCAGTGAATCAATCAAATCTCAACCTTTGTTTCACATTCTATTTTGTTTCTTCTATTACTCTCCCTCATATTCCACCTCCTACTCCTCCTTTCCTGCATTCTTCCATTCACATTCAATTTCATCACACCTCAAAAATCAAATCCACTTTGTGCTTAAACTAAGGTAGACAAAATTAACACGGAATGATAACAACCTGAAAAATAGTTTGCATTTATACAAATCATTAATGAAATTTGTCTTTGATCTATTATATAAAAATGTCTTGTTCTCATTGTCAATAATTTTGTTCATCAATACAAAAACAATGTATGTTCAGTTAAATATGATAACAGACAAGCGAAAAACGGAATAAGAATGGCCCTTTTGCATCAACACCATAACAAGAACATTATGTGAATAACAAAGATGTAAGTAATCTATATACCATACAGAAAGCAATACATAGATATTATAATGTTGTACTGATTTCTATTATAATAATGTTAATTTGGCATATATGTGCACGTAAGGGATATATTTCAAATGAGTTCAGAATTTTTTGCCAACACAATGATACAAAGAGATAATAATAATATTCAGTTCTTGTATAGCACATAATACATTATAAAATAACATCGCTATGCGCTTCCAAAGAGCTATGGAAATTATTACCCTAGCTTTAGCTCCGACAGCCGTTATCAGCGTACAGTGCATTTCAAGGAATAATCCTACCAGTAACCCATTTACCTCACCTGGGTCAAGTGTGCCAAATGTAGATCAATGTCTTGCCAAAGAACATTAGTGCTGCAGCGGGACTTGAACCGCGGACCTTGTGATCCACAGTCCGGTGACGTATCCACTCGACCACAACACCTCTACAGATGACAGAAAGGGTAGTCGCGTTACCCTGAGAAATTTATTTATTTATTATCAATTAATTGATTCCTTTTTACTTATTCATTTACCTTGGTTTTTAATTATTTATTTGTTTGTCGAGTGCTGTGCGAAATTTCAGTGACATAATGAAAAATAACATACTCGCAAAGAATGCAGAATACCTTTGTGATTAGATATAATATAACAGTAAATTCTTAAAGAATATTCATACATAAACATGAAATTACCAAGAATTCATAAATAGTGCATGATTTCATGCAGCTCGAGTTTTAAACATGAGTATTACCAATACCAACACCAATTTCACATAAGAATAGATTTAAAGTAATAAGAAAGACAATTCAATTTTCCATTGCTATCCCCACTTTTCTCCACCTGGGCAGAATACTTCCATCACGTTGTCTTCAAGTGAAAATTTAGGATGAAAATCGACATTACTAAAAGTTTATGAATTAGTAACGTGGGGTTTTCATTTGTGATTAATATCACAAACGCTTATAGCAAAAAAAGAAGTAACATTAACCAAAATCATTAGGAGTTACTGCATTGTGTTTGAAATAGTTTCTAAAGAGTATCGGTCGAAATATAATAAAGCTTACAAAAACTGTAATGAAATAGTTATAATGAAATAAGTATAAATTATAATGAATTACTCTTGCTTTTGAGTAATGAAAATATACTGAATTTCAAAATGCACTTATAATGTGAACAAACATCTCCCAAATGAGATGGATTTAATAAAATTATAGGCAAGTAAAAGGCGAATAAACTCTATAAACTCTTAACATTTTTGTCTTCAGTTGCCATCAGTAAATTCAGAACACTATTTTAAAACAAAACAGAACATTAGAAACTTGACGAATTGAGTTGAATCGAGTTGACTTGCATTTGAGATAATTTCAAATATTTTTAATACTAATTCTGTGATTTATATTCTGTTTGAAAAATTATCATAATCATGATTTGCGATTTGGAAGATTATATGATATCTTTTGGAACACAACACTTTGGAATATTACATGTATGAGTTGTTGGACAATACTATTACACAATTTTAAACCCATCACATCCATAACAGTTCAATATCCGCTCATGTCATCATCATGATATGATCTGTATGCTTTCTTTCAAATTAATATAATCATGATTTAAATTTGGAATATCTTTTAATATCATATAGAACTGAGCAATCTGAACACAACACAATGAGTTCCTGAACTAAAATATCATATGGTCATTCATAAACAGTAGCTATATAATACTGATTATTTTTTATTGTATGATCAATATGTAATTTATTTTAAAAATCATTATAATCACGATAACGATGATTACATAATTATCTTTCTGGAAGAAACAAAATATTTTAAAGTCAGCTGATCTTGACTTGAGCAAAAAAAAAGAAAAATATAAATTTCTAATATTCTATAATATCCTCAATAAGCACCATTTTCATTTGAGTTTTGAAATTAAACAAAATAAATGTTAGAGCCCTCTTTTTGCTCATGTTCATCAAGGACAGAAAAAAAAAAATCTTTTCCTCATGAACTTCTCGATCTAGTATCATAAAATTGATGAAGAGAAAACTATCGAAAATGATCCGCATGACCCATGCCCATTTTAGTTTCGCTGCTACATGGAAATGTACATGCCACTGAAGATTAAATCTTTAAATTGGCAACACAATGGAAGGTTCAAGATATCATTTCAACAGACTTTTTGCCCATAGATTTTTTTTTAGTAGACTCAGGACCACTTGTTAAAAGAAAATAATGTAGCAATGAAATACCAATAGTACTCCATCCAAATTGATGGGAATAAATGATCAGATTTAATCTTTTAACAATGTTCGACCAACATATAAACTTTAATTATAACATGATCCGCAACAATTGTTACACAAAACATCATCGATTGATGCCACAATTACAAGGCTTTTATAAAAATTAAGAAAGTATAGGTATAAAATTGCTCAGTCTTTTTTCACCCATTCAAGTACAAAGAGTTCAAAAACAAAAATAGGTTGACCACACCTTCAAATATTTCTATAAGATGGGGTAGATTTCAGTCATATAATGGTCTCTTCATATTCCTCTAAGAGGTCGTTCAATTGGCCTTTCTGGAGGGCATTGGCAAGTGCCTTGGTGGCTACGTAGGCCCTCTGAGCCTTCACGGGAGTGCTTCGGACAGTCCTGAAGGGATGGATCTCCGCAGCAGGTTTCCCATCGGTTCTACTCCTCGACACCATCTCAGGCTTGGAAGAATTGCTTGAGGATTGCTGGAAGGAACGTGGCTGAGTTGTTGTGGCTCCGGGTAACGATAGAGGATGGAGGGGGACGGTAGAAAAGTGAGGAGAGGGGGTGACTTGGTTGTGGGAAGGGGGTCGAGGGATCTGAGATGAGTTTGCGAGATACTGAGGTTGTGATGAAACGAGGGATGATTGGGAGGACCGGATGGGCGCAATGGGTCGAGGACGTTTGGGGTATTGGTTCTTTTGCGGGGCATCTCGATTCGCTTCTCGATCTGCCTGAAAGCTCCTAGAGTAAGGTGAGGGTGCGGAAGATGATGGGGGCGCGTTGGGAGGGGGCGAGCGTGAAGCCGGTCCGGCGATGCGAGCCAGAAGGTCTGCCCTAGCTCTCCTAGGAGAGACAGCGTTGGAAGATCTAGAAGGAGAGGAGATGGATGATGGGACCGAGGAGGGCCTTGAAGACGTCAACGTCACAGACGATGCTGATGATGATGACGGTGACGTCGGGTACTGTCTGGGAGATGATAGTGAAGATGATGGATAGCTTGGAGACACCGGGGAGGGGTGTCTCCTGGATGAAGTCGAAGATGGAGGAGAAATAGCAAGTGATGATGATAATGATAGTCTAGGTAAGGAATGAGATACTATTGGCTGAGGATGATCACGGAATGTGTTTACTCTCCTGTCGTAACCCTCATTTTCCCCTAAACCCCCTGTCCCTCTTGAGCCTCTGTCGTCCCTTTGATTATTCTGCTCACGAATTTCAGAGGGAGCTTCCTCATGTCTTAGTCTATCTGAAAGCTCTGTTGTCTCCCTGACCGCGCAACCTGGGATTGGCCTATCCGAAGGTTCACCAACCTCAGGGTTCCTCTGGCCAGACCCAGTCCTGTCAGGCTCCTCTCTATTGATATTCCTCTGAGGTGACCGTTGGTTACCCTGGTAAGGCAGTGGAGGCGATGTCAGGTTCGGTCTCCTTGCATAGTTCGGAAGAGATCTATTCCTCGTCTTATACGGAGGAGGGGCGTATGCAGGTACCCTCCTGACCCCATACGGTGGGGGCTGTCTACCCTCATGAGTTCTACCTGCCCTCTCCAGTTCGACACCCTCACCACCTTCCTGCGTTGACTGTTCTCTGGAAGTATCCCCATACCCTACAACATCTGGGAGCCCTTGTTCTTGGCTCGCACTCTCGTCCCAACTCCTGCTTCCAGCCCTACCCCTACCAGCCCTCTCCTGCACCTCTCTCGAATGTCCTCTCCGTTCTTGTTCATTCAAATCCAAGCTATACACTGTGTCACTATAATCATCCACATGATTCCTGCCCTCAGCTGCGTTAGTACTATGCCTTGATGCATCGCTTTCAAACTGCCTCCGTCTCTCAGGCGAACTGTTCCGCTCTTCTCGCGACGGTGAAGACTGTAGAGAAGGGATGGATTCGTAGATTGAATCCTCAGCCAACTCAGGTCTCCAGTTACTAGGCAAAGTTCTTGCTTCGTGAATATCTGCCTGAACATCAACCCTACTTTGTAAATGAATTGGTTCACTCCTAATGGGAGTCTCCTCCACTCTCGAAGTTCCTTCGCGAGAACTCTCAACATTCCTTGCAGGGTATACAACATCACTTGTTCTGGCTGCTGTGCTCGAATGAGTTCTAACAACATTATGCCTGCCTTCATACGGCGGTGGGAGCATTCGTCTCCTGCTCGGGGAATCTTGTGTATGATCGGTTGGCGAAGGATTTCTATAAACCTCGGTCTCTCTCTGATACGTAACAACTTCTTCCGTCTCGTCTCTATAACCATCATCTACATTTATTGCAAAGTCTGTAGAGCTGTCCTGCCTTTGGTACTGAGCTTCCGTATCTGGAGGAGGAGGTCTTGGCCTCTGGCGATTCCGAGCGTTCCTGCTCAAGAGAGTGGGATCAGAAAGGCTATACCTATGCCCGCTTCTCCTGATCTGATCGCGGTACAGCTCCGGAGGCAAACTGTTTGGATCGTCCTCCGTGTTTGTCGTTGATTCTGACTGCCTCGATCGTTGCTCAACAATCTGTCGCTGATGCGCGGAACGAGAGCTCCACTCCGCGCTCTGGTCCGAGCTAAGCCTCAGCGACTGGTGGATCGTTCGGTCCCTAAGTCCTGTCTGGTGTTGGTACACCCCTGGAGCAATACTACGCCGATCCCCCCGTCTACTTTCGCGGCTCCCGCCGTCTCCTGTCACCTCTCCAAGTTCAGATTCCTGGTTTGGCACTGGACTTCGATTTCCCGAGACACCGCTACCGGTGACTCCGGTGTTCTGCACTGGAGATGCAGCCCCGGGTCCCGCTGATGGGGTAGTATTTGCAGAGCTTCCTGTGAAGCTTCTCCCAACCACCGGTGTTGATTGGAGACTAGGAGCAAACAGGGTGTAAGGCGGTGGGGGCTCTAAGGGCAGACCACCGGGTCCTAGAGCTGCAGCGAGGGGGGTGATACCACCACCAGGCATCTCATCTAGAAAGCAAACAAAGTAAGAGTAAGAAAGTTTTAGAAACATAAATCCAAGTACATGTATATTTTTGAGGCATCTTTGGTGTACATAAAGATTTAACAACCAAGCAAGCAAGAAATCTTTTCAAGACCACTGCCATTTTTATCTACACTATACAAAATGTCTCATTTATGACCCGCTCAACCCCAATTCTGATTTCAACAGACAACTTGACGCAAAGATCGGATAGAGATATAATAAACATATTAGGATAAAGAATGATCTAAGATATAATTACAATTCAACATATCGTTAATCTGAGAAACATGTAAGCAATAATATTGAATACCGTCTGCTCAGAGCCAGAAAGTGATAAATGCATTCACTTTGACAAATGCCTTTGTTGCTTTCAGCAGAATGTAATATTAGACAATTCTATAATGTAAACTAAATATGATAACACTGAATATTAAAGGCCGTCTGTAGTAGTTTGGCTAGGAGGGATTAGCCCACCCAGGGTGGTCACTAACAGGTGACCATCTCATCAACTCAGCTCTCAAATAACATAAGAAAAAGAGGATCATGGGGAACCGATGGTCACCGATTAGGCATTGTTTTCTATATAGAGGGAGCAAGTAGCTACAAGTAGTACAGTGGGGCTTTAATATCTTAATATTCTACGTGTACCTACCACTGATAAGACCAATGTTTGTGTAGGACGGGGGTTCAAATCCCCCTGAGACCGAGTTGATGAAGAAAGCCCCCTCGTGAAAAGGTGAGGCAGGGTAATTGAGATGCTCCTCGTAGGACGGTAGCTCCAGATTAGCAGGGACTTCCTCTGATTGGTTGGCGTTTGTTGCCTATAAAGAAAGAAAAATAAATTCAGTTAAAATAATAATATTGGATGTTTATATCGGGCACATATCCACAATTCATGGTGCTCAAGGCGCTTCAACTATTACCCTGGCTCTGCTAGGCAGCTGATTTGGGCGCTCACAGCATTCAAGGAATTCCTTCCTACCGGTACCCATTTAACACTTGGGTGGAGAGTGGCAAATGTTTAATGATTAATATCTTGCCAAAGGACATCAGTGCCGTGGCGGGACTCGAACTGCGGACCCTGTGATCCACGGTCCAACGACTTATCCGCTAGACCACAACACCTGTACAGTATACAGTATACATCTTCTCTAGTTTAGTTGATATAGTGGCAATAATCTTCAGGAAGTAGCGATGCAAAGAAAATACCATGATCTACTGGGACAACTCAATGAAGATCTTGAACCAAAGTGATATTTTCCTTACTTCATAGATTTTCAAGGCGTGTTAATCAACTCCTTACTTGTCATGGATTAATAAAACTCTTGATTCTCGCAGCAGTTTGATTTTACTCCTGCATTTTTCAACATAATATAAAGTAAAATATAGGTACATATATATTATTAATAAAAGTCAAAAACAAATATACGGTAATCATATCATAATATAAATCAATGAAATGATTACCGGTATACCTTTCAACAACGAAAATCCCATATTTGACAAAGCAGTTCAAAACTGAAAGATGCAGGAGATTGCCATCTTAAAGCTATAGGCCGGTAGTGGTAAAGTTGTGGTCCAAGGGTTTTGGACGCAAAATATCCGTTCAATGTTTTTTAGATATTGCCTTCATAGTTTAGATGGCAATACTTGAACCTAAATTCGCAAAAAAACTGAAATTTATTCCCAAATGTTCAATGTTAAAGTGCATTCGTACACTGTAATTGTGACAACATTTGATAGTGGCTGTTCACTATTTGTCCATTTGTCGATCAAAGCAGGTAAAGGGTTATTAAGCTCTATATTTCTTTTGTTTAGTTCCTTCAACTCCCCATTCAGGGGAATCGCAAGAACACAAAGTTACTTCTAGGATCAAGCACAAGACCCATAACACCTAATCTAGAACTTGATTTGGAATTACGCTATACCTGTCCTTTTGGTCTCAGTTGGGGTCCTAAATGTAGCACAGCACCCATAGGACCTAGCCTTACCCTAGACCTGCATCTCAGACCCTTATTCTGGTCCTAGAACAGGACAGAGTACAGGACCTATAACACATCATCTAGAAAATGACCAGGGGGGTGTTTCATAAGGCTAAGACTGACTATAAATTGGATTTAACTATTGGAGGCCAATCATGCCACTGGTTGCTCTCACTATTGGTCTCTCAATTATGATCTTTAGATAATAATTTTTCCTTCAATAATGAACTATCAAATAAGGTAAATTCTGTAGATTTGTGACCACGATTTATATGTCCATTCAGAGACCAATGCGTGTAATGGTAAGAGCAAACAGTGGCATGAACTGCCTTCCATAGTTAAGTCCAACTTAAAGTCGATCTTAGTCTTTGTGAAACACTCCCCTTGACTTACGCTGGACCTGAATCTCAGACCCTTATTCTGGTCCTAACACAGGACAGAGTCCAGGACCCATAGCATATCATCTAGAAAAGGACCTGGACTTACCCTAGACCTGCCCCTTTGGTCCTCGTTCTGACTCCTGGCACAGCACCCATAGCACATGAACATAAACATGACCTGGGTGACCACAATAACCCCAGTACCGATGACGACAGTCGTCAGTTCTATCGTAAATCGGGCACCCTGCAAATAAAAAGTTTAAAAAGAGAAGGTTTAACGTTAAATCAACTAGGATAGCATGGCTTTCCCTCATGATTTTCCATAAAAAAGAGGACATTTTCAAGCCTGGCCACATGCTTACCAGCCAGGTATTCCTCAAAATGGTGCATTTAATTGTAACTGTCTCTCTTGACCCAGGGGCAGTGAATGGATTCCTGGTAGGAAGAAGAGTCTCTGAATTTACGTCTTGAAAGCCCAATTTTGTTAAAACTGTAAACAGAACTTTTTTAGGACAAGTAACCGTGTACACAATACAATAATTTTGCCCATAAAATACATGTACCCGTACGTAGACCCCTCCAGTTCCATAGTCCTCTGACACCTTCCCAAGCTGTGGCGCCAGCATAAAACCGTGATAACAGCCCCAAACAACTTGTGCAATAACCCCTAATTCTCTCCGATATCTATATAAAATTGTAATTATTCAACAATTTTTAAGCGTTGTTCACTAGTCACCACAAGGTGTTACAGTGGAGATACCATTCATCTTTTTTCCCTAACAAGTACGTGAAAACCTGACCTTAAAGTTTATCTGTACTCGTTTATAGGAGGGATTAGACCGCCCTGCAATGTCACTAGAAAGGTGCTTATCTCATCCATTCAGCTCTCAATTAACTTAAGAAAAAGAGGATCATGGGGGACCAATGGTCACCGATTAGGCATTGTTTTCTACTTAGAGGGAGCAAGTAGCTACCAGTAGGACAGTGTGGCTTTAAAACTAACCGAAAACCAAACACTAAACCTCATCTACAATCTAATAGCAACCAAGACTTAGCCCCCTAATCTTTCAAGAAATAAGACTGCAGCAGATGTAGGACGGTCTTACCCTGACAACATTGCAGCGAGCGATAACGTTGGGCAGCAGTATGCACTCGTATTGCTGTTCTGATGTGGCTCCGATGATACTGAAGATAACCAGGGCCAAACCAGCTAGGGAACCGAAGAGGCAACCAGCAAAGTACGTCTTGATCTAGAAACGAAAGAGAAGAAGAAAGTCAGTATGACATAATATCAGAGTTTCATTGGGGTTTACATGTAAGAAGACAATTGTCCAACCAAATGCAAGGACGATACAGGGCCAAAGAGACAATCAACAATGTACATCTTTTTTTCTTCTTCTGACTTGTTTTTTAATTACAGATCGATTAATCGATCATATTTACTGGGTATATGCCACAAAAATGTTTCAATGATTTTTCCCAGGAAGCATAAAATTTATTAAAAAAACAATGTACATCTTGTTTTAAGAATAAAAGAACAATTACAACTCTGATAAGTGATATGATTTAGATGGTATTAAGCCAGGAGGATGAGGAACTTTTGTGATTTTCTAAAATTTCTGTCCTGCCCCATGCTTCCTGCCTCATTTTCGATAGGTCAGGATCTGCCTTCATATACATTGGGGCAGATGGTTCCACGACTATTGACAATCTTGCGGGGAATTTAGCATGATGATCATATACAATTTCTGCTACATTCAGTTATTTCCTAGAATACAGCATCATGATTTGTTATAAAACTGGGCTTACATTCTCTTATTTGATTATTACCACAGCAGTAACTTAGAATTTTTTTAAAGCCCTACTGCACTACTTACAGCTACTTGCGCCCTCTATAAAGCAAACAATGCCTAATCGGTGACCATTGGTCCCCCATGATCCTCTTTTTCTTATGTTAATTGAGAGCTTATTTGATGAGATAACCACCTGTCAGTGAACATGCAGGGAGGTCTGATCCCTCCTGGCCAAAGTAGTGCGGTGGGGCTTTAAAGAATGGAAACCTGTCATTCCTTAACATTTTACATGAGCTAATCCCTCAATGAGAAATCTGCTCTTGGATGTTCAGTCTATCATTAAAGTAGCCACACAAAGAATCAAAAGTGTTTTGAATTGATGCAAAACCAAATACAACAATTCTTCTCTTCAAAATATGTTTGGGGCCCACAGTAATCAACTCTAAAAAATGTTAGTTTTGAGATCCAGCTTTTCTGCCTTTAGCGGTCCTTTGTAGAGCGTCAATATTTGTGACGTCACATATGGGACACGGCTGGCTAGCTGCATACTGCTACACAGCACTGAGCTGTTCGTGCAGTGTGTGACGTCACAATTCAGAGCTCGCTACGCTTGTGTGTTTGACTTACGTTTAGGGGCGTTCGGGGGTCTAAGGAGGGTCTTGAAAAATTGCTTTTTACGCCTTTCCATGATATCTATATGATTTCTCAGCAAATTGTTCGTGTTTTTCAAGAGAAAATCTTTCCATCCATATGTAATTTGTTCTAATTATGAGTTGTTAGTGAATTTTCTTTGTGTAGCTCCTTTAAATAACAGAATATTGCTTTACTACGATTGCGTATTCATTTCTATTTCAATATTTAACTTACCAGTAAATTTTCTGTAGAGAGAAGGTATTATTTCTAACATATCAAGGACTTCAAAATCAAGAAAGAAAAAAAAAAGATTTATCCTACAAAATACTGTTGACATTTTCTTACCAAGAGTCTCTTGTGTGGTCTCTTTATTGCTGTATATCCCATAATTCCAACAAAGAGTTCCTGTAGAAAATAAAAGAATGTAATCGAGTCAATTGACTAATTTAAAGGTACTATGTCCCTTTTGCAGCCAACCTCAAATGTTGTAGAACTTTGCAGGAATTATGAATATGTCATGTATGTCCTATCTGTGAAATTTAAACCTTATATGCAAATTATGCAAGGAAACCCGTTTACTTGCTAGACTTCACTGTCAGACACTATTGAGTGACTGACTGGCTTTTTTTTCTTCTTTGGTAATAACATACATGAAAAGCGTTGTAAAGGGTACATGAGCATTTGTCTACATCAATAACCCACTTCTTGTGATGGCCAAGATTAAACTGATTGAATCTTTGCGCAGCATAAAACGTATGACCATTCGGTACAATTGTCTGAAAATCAAAACTATTACTTTTGGACTCTATAGCCCTAAAGTCGATTTGACAACTAATAGTCATTATTTTCCCACTTGAAGACATTTTCAAGCCCCACCTTTTTAAGGGAAGTTCTAAATTAGTATTATCTTTCAAATGCACTTGGAATTTAACTTTTTCATTTTTTTGGCCTGCAAATGGGACATAGTACCTTTAACAAGTGTTTAGCTAAATGATTACAGAAGGTGTTAGATACAAGCTCCCTGCAACCCTGGAGAAATGTTAAACCTCCTGGTTCTAGGTCCCTTCCTGTAGCCTCTACTGAAGGGGTGTACATACAAGTCGCGAACCTTGAAATGGTAATCCCTTTGAACAGCTCCTAGAAGCTGTCCCGGGATGATAATGCAATTGGTAAAAGAAGATCTGTGCTATATGGACACTATATTTAAACTTGAAATCTCATAGTTCTGAGTACCCTTTCACAAATCTACAATCTTCCGCAGCTTTTGCATGTATTTTGACATTATAAATGCTGGTTACATACTTTCCTGGTTGTTTCAGAAATAAAGAGAACAGACAGTACATGTTTATCATTATGGGTAGTTTATAGCCCACAGCCTTACAACAAAACAAGACTTCATATGTGAAGAAAAAAAAACTTACAAAACATTTCACGTAGGTTTGGGGGAAGGGGTAACAAATATCTTTGAGCAACAAAGCAGGATCACTGCTACGTGTGACAAGGCTACAGACAACTTACCAATTGATGCTCTTTATGGCTAGTTTAGAGGCCACAGCATTTACAACAAAACAAGAATTCAGATGTGAAGAAAAAACTTTCAAAACATTTCAGGTAGGTTTGGGGGAAGGGGTATCAAAGGTCTTTGGGCAACAAAGCAGGATCAATGCTATGTGTGGCAAGGCGACAGACAACTTACCAATGCTCCTACGATAACAGGAATACACATGTAGGCCATCCAGCAGTGGAAGGCCACCGCGAGGATCCCAAGCACGGCACATATACAGCTCAAGATGACCTGCATGATGACGAAGCGCGACGCCGACGGCGGAAGCCGGAGTTGGTTGAGCTTGAAGGCCCCATGGCGGATCTGGAACCCCCTGCTCTGTGGGTTGGGTGGCGATCGTCTCCTGTGCGAGCCATGACTGGTGGCAGCGGTGGGATCGATAACGGGGATGGGGGTGTTGATGGCCGTGGCCGAGGCAAGCTCTTCCTGTAGCTGGGGCTGGTAGATGGTGCTGACCTCCGTGTTCATCCTGGTAGGAGGCATGAGGTCAGGCAGGGTGAGGTGTGGAGGGGGAACCCTGGGACTTGAGAAGCTAGCTTGGTTTACTTCCGTGTCATGAAGTGTCCCTTTTACTTGCAAACCTGTATCAAAGCAAACAGAAATATAGCAAAAGAAAAGTGTTAAAACATGTGCTGGTCAGGTTAAGGTGAGGTGAGGTATGGAGGGGGAACCCTGGGACTTGAGAAGCTAGCTTGGTTCACTTCCGTGTCATGACGCGTCCCTTTTACTTGCGGACCTGTACCAAAGCAAGCAGCAAATAGCAAAAGAAAAGTGTTAAAACATGTGCTGCCAGAATGAAAAACTTGTCAATTCATACACATCAAATCAACATTCTAAAATACTCTTTCATAACATGTATCCAAAATAGATGTAGGGTTCCATATTAACTTTCTCTTTTTTGCATAGGTTCCTCTCTTATTCATTGGTATGTTGCAGTAACACCCTGTGAGCTCAAGGTATTTAGCTATAACTAGGACGAATGATCTGTCCCTTTAAGCCCAAAATCATTTTCCTCATTTCATGTTCACTTACATCCATATTTCAAACAAGGAGCAGAAGTGTGAATTAAAACTAGAACTGGTATTAAGATACCCAATACCTCTGTCACACCACCCTCCTGACTCCGGGCCAAAAATGACTCTGAACTGAACTACCCTTAGACTCCTTTCTCACTCACTTCCTGGACCGGTTTACGCTAGACCAGTCCATGTGACAGCAGTCTCAAGGTAAGTGTGAAAGCACAACCGTGCCAGGAAGCGTACCTGTGGTCTGATCCAGAAGACCACTGCGTGATGTGGTCGATCTTCTGGACCGGTTCGCTTTCTGTTGCTATGGCATCACATGTCTCATCAGGGTGAAAAATGTGATGAGTGTGAAACCACACGAACCGTACCTCTGGAGTGGTCTAGCGGATCTGTCTAGCTTAGATCTGCAAAGTCCAAAGTCCAGCAAAGTAAGTGAGAAAGGGGTCTTGGCAATGAATGTAAATTGTTCAGTCTGTTGTCTGACTGGATTCTGTTCATCACTTTGACTGGGGTATAAACAATGGACAAGAGCTAAAGGCACATTTGACGAATCCCCAAGGGCATCAATACTGACAAAAACTACCATGGAGCACAACCCGACATGAAAATGACTCAGGCTGAATGTGTCTGAGTGACTAACATAAATGACAACGTGTTACAAGGAAATCCACCACAATAGTTTTATGACATCCCCAGAGCATTTGCTACATTAATGGTTGTATTTGATGTTGAACCAGCTAGAAGATCAGCCCAGCGTGTAATGGGCAGCTAGCCAGCTAGACAGTTGAGGACCATTGGGTAAAATATTTCTCTCCCAATACAACTTGTCAATGTTTACAACAAGAATATAACTAGTCTGAAAATACAGACTCCAAGTTAACAGCTACATGACACATGATTCCATAAAGTACTTCTTAAAGCAAAGTCTAGCTCAGTCATTCTCTAGCTGTGTCAAGTACAGCTAAAGTGTACTGTAGAGCCTATGGGGTGCACTAGACTGTGCAGTCTGCATAGACTCTTATTTCATACACTTTTTTAACGCAAGAATGACAGGGTCTTTGCCTGCAGACTAGACAAACTCCATGTGCTTTTACACTTGTGTAAGCCTACGTAACTGAAGTTCTATTAATATTGGATTCAGTCCTGTGTAATTGAGGTTGTAACTTAAAACATTTGAATGTCTGATTTGATCTAATTTGATAATGTCAACCGATGCATGGTATCCCTAAATCACTTAATTTGAGGAGGCACAGTGGCTCAGTGGTAGAGAAATGGTCTCGTAACCAGGGGGTCCCGGGTTCAAAACAAAGTCGATTTGCTGGTTCCCTTTTTACAAGGCATTAATCATCATTACCAAGTCCCTCAGAGAGGACATTAAAGCTGTCAGTCCCCTGGTTGCTTCTTTAAAAGCATACACATGCTTCATTTCTAGCAGACGTGTCAAAGAAACCAACCATCAAACTATCACACCTAAAACCCTCAACAACAATTATGCTATTTTAGGATCATTCATAACTAAGTCTAATTACTCTTGCTGAAAATATACTACTGATAACAAATTTGATATATTTTCTTGAAAATATTTAAGATAGTAAAGGTCTACCTCTTCAACATAAAGCAGACGGGTTCACTCAACACATGTATCCCTTTGGTTTAATCTTGAGGACCTGGGACTCAGAAATACCCTTTCCTAGGTGTCACAAACTATACACATTATCCAGGAAAAGTGCTAGATCACGACTGTCGGTTGGAATGCTATATATAGCACATAGAATTAGGGGGAAAGTAAGCGGATTTGCTACTCGCTAGGGTACTAGTCTAAATTCAAATTCATGTGGGGTAGGATAAAGACGATATCATCCTGATCTCATATTATTTTTGGAGTGAAGAGTCTTAGGATTCTTTCAAGAACAACATTGGAAAACTGGTACTCATCGCTTATCCCTCTACAAATATTGATGAATCTTTCACATTTATAAATGGATAAAGATTTTGAAGATTATGATGTTATACATTTGCAGGTCAATATCAAATGATCCCTTCTGCCAACATTTTGTTTGAAATATTTTAATATCAATGTATGCTGACATAATATTATCAATATAAAAAAAAATCTCAAACACAATCTATACTAGCATTCAAATAATAAACACTGCAATGCAATGTCCTAGTGATTGATACAAGGCATATCAGAATATAAATATTGAAAATTTGAAATTGACATTAAAATTGAAAATTGTCAGACTTGATCATTATTTACTGATGATCAACAACAGTACAGTGCTTACTACACTAATCATAATATGCAATTGACATCACCAGTATATATACTGTAAAGTTCTTGAATGATAATGTCATTCAAAAAATTACAGAATTATCTTTATGTTTGATAAATAGTTTGTGCCCTTTTGGGTCTCAAAGAATGACACCCCCCCCCCCCCCCAACCCCCAGAACAAGTGATACAAAAATAGCCATTACCTAAATGTATATAGTTCTATAGCATCTATCAAGGTATACGATACACTACATACTGAACCCTGGTAGTATACTGCATGCATATTGTATCAACGGACAACACAAAATAGTACAGACACTGAATCACACAATGCATACTTTGGATACAGTATGTGTACAAAGGTTATTTACTTAAACGGGATGGTTTCATATCCTTCTTTTCATATTATCATTATAATCCTTATTTAAATATTATCCACCTTTTTGGATATATTATAATCTTTTTCATTCTATTATCCTTCTTTTCTTATTAAAAATTGCATTGGGTTTCCACACACTGTTGATTTTCACTGCCCTCTATGTAAATCATTAATGAACTATTAGTAATTTAGTTTTGTTTATCTTTGTTGCTTTGAAATATCTTAACTTGTATTTTAGTTGTAAATTATTATTTCCAAAACACATCATTTGTACTCGATAACTGATATTAATGGTACAGTGCCTCAAAAGATGACTTGATAAAAAAGTAAAATTTAAATCAAATCTATAGGTTATATCTCTTAGGAGATTGTGCTCAATAAACAATAGCAGTTTTCCTCATTAGAACAATTAAGTGTTCAAAATATTTTTAAAAATACATAATAAAATAAAAATATAAAAAATATTGAATATATGATACCATGTCACACATATGGCCTACTTTCAGCTTTAAGTCAAATCTATAAATACATTTGTGGATATATATATTCAATATAAATCCTTTTATTCTTTAGTAATTTTGTGATGAGCACTTTGGAAAGGGCTACCAATAAGTTAATACACATTGGCTCTAAGTCTAAGCAAAAAAAAGTGCCAAAACAAAAAAGAGGAATCGTTTTCATAATATCTTATCATTTGATTTTGACTATGAAAAATCAGTCACAATTTCATTTTGCCATACCTTGAAATTAGAAGACTAGCCGAACAGCTGCACATGAATACATTTCCTTGTTATTAAATCCAAGATATATCACTTGCACATGTATGTCACTGAAGATCCATCACAAGATAGACAGACCAAGAGCACCACTTAAACGCTTCAAGTATCAAAATAAAATTCCTTTATGAAATAGCACTGGATATCCTACGCTTTGAAAATATGACAACAATCCGAGAGCGCACTTGGTTCCTTTTAAAGTCCAATGTCAGAGACGATCTAGAGAGCATGTGAGCATGCATGCATCCCTTTCAATCAGCATTGAGAAAGAGGCCTCCTAGCCATGCCACACTCCACCAATTAAGGCTTCTCCTTCTCCTTATCATAAACCCCCTCTCTGTCCTACTACCCTCATGCACGCCACCTCTCTCTGCGAGCTCTTGCACTGGACTGTCAGCATCCCGACGACTTCCAGCGGCTTTTATAGCGCCTGGCTACCAGCAGCGGGCACTTCCTATGGATGTACCAGTGACTCGCCTGCCTGCCTGCCTTGCGAAGGGAAAGTGCTGGCAACCAGGCCAGGCCAAGCTCGGGCAGCTGATCATAATTGGATATGTGATTACCATATCCCCTCCCCTCTTGGTTAGCTGCATTTATACCGGGTCTATATGGCTGCATCTACTTAGAAGGTCCAACTACCTTGTTCAGACTGAAGTGATTTTGTACGAAACTCATATAAAAAGAAACGTTGTTGTACAAAGAATCATTGTATAGTGAATAGGGGCACACAGACTAGATAACAACATTGTATAAAGACACATTTACTATATCCTCTCCCCCTTGCTTTAGCTGCATCTACTTAGAAGGTCCAAGTACCTTGTTCATACTAAAGGGATTTTATACGAAACTCATATAAAAAGAATTGGGGCATAGTCTAGATAACAAACTTGTATTCAAGAAACGTCAAATAAAGACTTTGGTTTAATAATCATAATAATAATATTCCGCTTTTATATAGCGCTTAAAATCTAAGCTCTTAGAAGAGGTCAGTTCACATGACAGTTGGCCAATCATAAGTGTGCGCTCCCAAAAGGCTACGCCTCCTTAGTTCTGATATGACATTCAAAGTAGACACAGAAAATTTATTGAGGCTTCATTGTAAACAATACTCAAACATACGTTTTACCATACGTTGTTTCATTACATGTTTTTTCTTCACATCGTATCGTATATATATTAAAAGATCCTTGTATAGCTATACCATGATTTCTGGTAGTGTGAACGGATGATTAAAAGGTCCCATGGTCTCTCTGTCCTCGATGACCACATGCAGATGGAGGACATACAAGACTGGACAGTGTTTAGAAAGCATATAAACATATGGTGATCCCCTATGGGTGAATGCCCCTGCCTGAGCATCATTATCGGATGAATCATAATTACAGGGGATTCCTCAACAACACAGATATGAAACCCATTGATGTAGTGCTGCAAACCCTTTTCCTTTTCATTTTCTTTTCTTTTCTTTAAATTATGTTGTGCATTTGTCACGTTTATACCGGACTCTGAGTAACCTACTTGGTGTGATATAGTTATTCTTTTTTTTTTTAATATACTCTATTTTCATGAGTGGTTTCTATTTCATGTTTTTCATCTTATTATACTGTAAATATATTTTTTTATTTCATTTCATTTATTTTCATATTTCTCATGTTACATATACATTTCAAATAAAGTACAAATTGTTTTTTCAATCATTCATAATAAATAACAAAGATAAGTGGTCAATATGGAGTACTGATTTAACTTAGAGAAATATGATGGGACCTACATGAAAGCAAGCTTGTAAAGCTGTAGGCCCCAGATATCATAATGCATATAAATGTAATATCCTTTTTGCTTTCTAAAATGAACTGAAAATAAAGTTTCAATTGAATTTAAAATTCTCAGTCATTTAAATTGAAAATCAGCCACAACCATCTGTTTTTATCAGAGGCTGCTGCAATTACTATTTTTTTCATTCAAGTTTAATCAAAATATTCAAATGAAACCACAAAGATCTAAAAATGTTGTTCCTAAAATAATACACACTTTTTTTAATGGGGAGTCTTTTAACATATAAATCCAAAAGAATCTTTCCCAAACATCCTTTGCAGAATGAAGCATTGAAAACAATTGCTCTTCAGCACAACAACAGGAAAGTGGGAATCACAGAGGGGTTAGAATGGAGCATGCCACTTGCTCATTTTGATACAGAATGATTGATGAATCAATATTTGTTAAACTAATATTGGAAACACAGTCATAGCTTCCACAAATAAAACAAATACTGATGCTGCATCTTCAATAGCTAGCACTTGAAACCTAACAAGTTTGTCAAAACATGCTAAAAATGGTTGGTGGATACAGCTCCCAGCCAAATGAACTTAGCATCCTTCCACATTTAGACAATGAGACCAAAGAAAACTCAAATTGGTTCTGTCATCAGAGCATTTATTCGCAGCTTGAAAAGAGAGAGGGAGAGAGAAGGAGAGAAATGGGGAGAGGAAGTGTGTGTGTGTGTGTGTCTGTGAAAGAGAGAGAGAGAAAGAAAGAGTGAAAAAGAGAGACAGAGAGAGAGAGAGAGAGAGAAAGAGAAAGAGAGAGAGTCAGAGAGAAATTGAGATCAAGATTGAGAGACGCAGTGAGAGAGATATACATGTACATACATGTATAATATATATTGAGAGAGAGAAATAGAGAGAGAGAGAGAGAGAGAGGGGGTGACAAAGCAGGTAGGCAGAGTTAGGGATAGAGAAAGAAAGATACAGATAGATAGATAGGATGAGAGGTATAGGTCCATTGTGTGAGAGAGGGAGAGAGAAAGAGAGAGAGAGAGAGAGACAGACAGACAGAGAGACAGAGACTGGAGATGTTAAGACATTCAGGATGTTCAAAGCCAAAGCTCGGAAAATCCTTTGTTTTCAGGCACCGTGCATGCAAGGCAAGCGAAGAAGATAGCAAAACTTGAACCTGCAGACCAACAATCGACCACAGGAAGTTAATGTTTAACCCACATGTGACTGTTTTTTGGAGTTTAAACGAGGATTTCCTCCGATCTATCATTAATCTAACATCCCTCAGCTTGTCACATATATCCTTATCTCACTTTCACCTCCTTCAAACAATAAAATAAATAAAACAATAAAATAAAGATAGAAAGTATTGCAACACATTATAAAGTAACATAGATATATAAACAAAAAAAGACAATGTAGGACTTTTATATGACTGAACTTGAAAATAGTTGTATGGGTATATATCGTCCCTATTTTCACGAAGTGACGGTAGTGAATGAAAATCGCATACAATGTGAATGCGGATTTTCCTCACTATCGTCACTTCGTGAAAACAGGAATGATATGTATTGAAGCATAGAAAGAGAGAGAAAGAGAGATAGGGGGAAAGATATACATTCTCTCTTCTCGCATTAATCTAAAATCTCTTTGCTTGTCAAATATTTCCTTATCTCAGTTTCACCTCCTCCAAAAAATGGGAGATAAAAATATATAGATCATTTATACAGATCACAGAGAACATGAAAATAACAGAGATATACACTAAACATAATAAATAGACAATATAAATCATAAATGCGTATGAATGGTTAGGCATTGAGAAAGAGAGAGAGTGGTGGGATAATTTCTCTCTCTCTCACTTCTCTCACTACTCAAGGATACTTCCTTATCTCACTTTCATGTCCTTCAGTGGAAGTCAATGAGGGTATGAGACAGCAGATACATATTTAACATAAATATTCAATTGCCAGTGATCCTCAACAACTGCACAGAGCCTTTCAAATACAACATAATTTATCAGAGGGAAGTCTTTACAACTTAAGTAATGAATATGCAGATGTTCAACAAAGAAGAGTTGATGAAATACACTAAATAGACAATATAGTACAAGTGTCACATATATCATTATGAATATTATGATCGATTGATGTATATATTTATAAGGGTGGCAGAGAGAGGGGGAGAGAAGAGAGAGAGAGAGAAAGAGAGGGAGAGAGAAAGAGAGGGAGAGAGAAAGAGAGGGAGAGAGAAAGAGAGGGAGAGAGAGAGAGAGAACAGAGAGAAGGGGAGAGATGGAGGGTGGGAGGTGAGATAGAGAGAGAAAGAGAGAGAAAGAGAGGGAGAGAGAGAGACAGAGACAGAGAAAGACAGAGGGGAGAGAGAAAGACAGAGAGACAAAGAGAGGGTGAGAGATGGAGGGAGGGAGGTGAGAGAGAGAGATAGAGAGAGAGACAGAGAGAGAAAGACGAAGAAAGACAGAGAGAGAGAGAGAAAGACACGAGAGGGAGATAGGAAAAACGGAGAAAGAGAGAGATGGAGGGGGAAGGGAGCAAAGAGAGAGAAGTGAGAAAGAAAGGAAATCAGTTTAGTTATCTCTTCCTGGCAATAATGCAAACTGGACTCTATCCCATTCACAACAAAATGATAACTTCCTGTCAGATCTCGGTGACCTCTTTCATAAAATCCTTATCACAGTGCATAAGTTTAAACAAAAAAACAAAGTCCTACTGTTTATTTTATCAATGAAAATTAATATTTCCTACTTGTAACTTCCCCAAAATCCTAGGAAAAATCTTAAATCAAGCTCTGCGCACTTATGGTGTGTTTTCTATAAATCTATGCCTGTAAGCAGTAATGCTGCAATAGAAGAAAAAAATAAGTTGCATTTATCTAATTTATTGGGAGGAACAATGGGCAAGTATTTCAAAATATAACTACATGATCATTTAAAACATTAACTTTGGTGTTTGCATTGTAACTATTTTGCTCATGACAATAACAATTTGAAATTTAAAATCATAAAGACTGAAAATGAATAAAAAGAATTTTATTACTTAGCAAAGCTAAATAGAAAATACCCCCCCCCCCCCCCCAAGTCTAAATAGCATGAACACAACTCTGATATTGACTCATTTCACATAATGATAACACAAAACCTGTTTTTCTGGCAAGCAGTTTATTCTCTCCTTAGAGTATCCACTTCATCAAATAAACGGGTATATATAGCGGGTCAATGAACCCACAATTTTGCACAAAGATCAGACTGATTTGATATTAAACTAACCTTACAGAAATGGAAAACAAATTATACCAGCCACAGAACTTTAAACTGAAAAATATTGAATCATTAAAACTGCATAATTTCCATAAATTCGCACAAACACTTTGGCTGGTAAGTCAATCACATAGCACTTGAAGTCTAGATTTAGGATACATAATTTATTTCACACGCAATCATAAATAACAGACAAGAAAAGCTTTATAATCTAATATGTCCCTTGGGTACCAATGTGTTTGTCCATATATACATCTCTCTTATTTTTCTCTTCTCCTTAATTCTCTTAATTTGATAAATGATGGCAATAACTCATATTTTGAAAGGGAAAAAGACAGGAGACTGAAAAAGACTGCTTTTTGCA